TTTCACCACGTGAAAAAGCATCTCATCTTCCATCCGAATCAACCAAATAGTGAAAATTGTTTTTTTGACACCTAAGCCCGCTTTCCGTAGACCAGGTCACATTTTATGTTATGTGTAAATTATATGTTCTAACAAGTATATGTCAGTACACAAATAAAGCCCGCGTAAAAATAATATATGTAGCTAACCGTGTACAACCAGAATTACAAAATTTACAACAATTCACCACGGATGTAGGGGCGACATCTATGCTTAGAGCTTTGAAGATTACTCTATTTAAGTACATTCTCACGAATAGATGTCACCGTTGCAGGAAAACAGCTGATTTTAACCTTTGTTTTGTCATTTCCTTATCACAGAAGTTTTTGTAAAGTTTTCCATCATCTGTTTACCATCGAAGTTAAAATTATTTTCCGAAATTTTTTCTCATAAATGATAACGCTGTATCTGTGTCTCTATGCTACGAGCAATGTCGGAGGTTAATGTTAAAGCAGGCATTGAGTGCATATTGAAACGCATCGAAGAGGCATATGCTCGTCGACCCGTGGTATTGTTTCAGAAAACTACTGTTGGGGGGAAGAAAGTTTTGATGCATAAATTTTTTCCAGGAGCATGTGAAAATGGCTAAGCCACTGCTGGTAGCCGTCAGCAAAACAAAGCCGGTTGAAATGATAATTGAAGCGTATACGGCTGGTCAACGTCATTTCGGTGAGAACTACGTGCAAGAGCTGGTGGAAAAGGCACAGCATCCTGACATTTTGCAACATTGTCCGGAAATCAAATGGCATTTTATTGGTCATCTGCAAAATAATAAAATTAATAAAGTAAGTCAATTAGGTTGCACGATAGATGTATTTGTATATGATGATTGAATAATGCCATAATGTGATATTTATCTTTAGATACTAAAACTTCCAAATCTGTACATGATTCAAACTGTCGATAGCGAAAAGCTTGCCACTGGTTTAGATTCTGCGTGGGGGAAAATACAAGGTGATGATAAAACCCCTCTATCTGTTCTTATACAAGTCAATACAAGTGGTGAAGAAGGTAAAAAAATAATAGAAAAATTAATACAATAATGATACTAAAAGTAATAAAAATAAATATTTTACCAGCAAAGAACGGCGTGCAACCCAGTGAGACCCCTGCGCTTTTCAAATATATCCATAATAATTTAAAAAACCTTAAATTAGAAGGTCTTATGACCATTGGAGCATTTGGCTTTGACTATACGAGTGGTCCAAATCCAGATTTTATCTCATTGATGAATGTGCATCGCCTAATTTTCGAAGAAAATGCCCTTGAACCACATGCCGTGCAAGTATCAATGGGAATGTCGGATGATTTTGAAAAAGCGGTAAGCGCATTAGTTAGTTACATACATACATATGCCCAAGCACAAAAGTATACATACGGAGAATTTTTCACAATGTGTGAGATTTTTTTTATTTTAATTTCTTTTCGCCAAGTTTTTGTAAAAATATGGCTCATAATACCATAAAAATGCAGTTTTTCCCAAATCTTTTTTTTTTTTTTGCATGGAAGAAAATAACACCATCAGCAAAAAAAAAACGTCAAAAATCACTTAAAACTGCACTTTATTGTACTAAAATTTAATGAGTTACAAAACTTCGTAATGAAAATTGTTCTAAAAAATCTGATAACAGACTTGAAAATTTGTTGTATGCAAATTTGTTGAATTTTCCGGAGTTTTGCACAATTTTTAGAAATTTAAATTCTATTGGCCTTATTCATAAAAAATAAAGTAGGTTTAAAGAGCTTTATAAATTGACGTTTTCATATATTTTTCAATTTATAAACCTTTTATAAAGCTATTTTATTTTTTATGAATAAGGCCATTAGTCCTTTGTTGTAGTACCTTTAAACCTTATTTCAGAAAAGAAATGTAATACATGGTGAAAAATTCTTAAATATTATTGACAAATAAATGTGAAAGTCGCAATTTCGTGATTATACCTAAACCAGCCTCTCGAGTCTAGACTTATGTATGTGCATACATGCATATGTATGCCAAACACATAAGTTCTGTTCGCTATGCAAATGTCAGTAAGAATAAAGAAAAAAACTTACTAAGTTTTGCGCGAACAGGAATTAGCAAACATTTGCAACCTCACTGTCAGCTAGCGTCCACGGTTGCATTTCGAGCAAAATATGACCTTTTCGGAAGTCACGGTCGGAATTCCTATATTAACAGTGGTGTCGACTGCGTTCCGATTACGAATACAGCTGTTTGAGCCGAGTACAATTCAATTGTTTGGAATTAATGAAATTAATTGAATAAAAAAATATTTAGATACTTCTTTCATTAGTAAATCGCAACAAGATTGTTAATTTTTAAATTTAGTGAACTTGTTCATTCAAATTAATGTTGAAAAAATTGCAACCGTGTGCCGCAATCCTGGCAAATTTTTCCAGCACGAATTTTCTACTTCCCTTCCAAATGGTATGTCAAAATTGTGCTCTCTCCTTGCAAGCTTTACCGAGTTTTTGGCCAAACGAACACGATTTGGTAACTAGTCGTACCAACTCACGATTGAGAGAATACAAAGGTTGCGCCGATCTCGGACCGCTATTCCTCTCTTAACGAATTTGACAGAATCGCTGTTTGCATGACGTCACACTGGTGCAACTTGTTTACGTTTTCCTTGCAACATTTTTTCTTCTTCTTCCATTCTTGCTCACGTTTTGGCATTTCTCTCTCGCAATTGCACCAGTGTGACGTCACACACAAGTTATTCTCAAAAATCCTCTCCGATCGGCGCAATCTTGTATTCTATCATTCTTGGTACCAACTTGTACAAGTTTTTTGCATAGCGAACACTCCTATTGTGGCTGTTCACGCTTGCCTGGTTATCAGGTTGTCTGGTTAAAAATTATTATTCTATAGTGTATTTTATTGTACCAAACTGAACAAACAATATAACCGGACAGCCTGATAACAAAACAGGCGTGGAAACCTGCATTTATAATCTCTTGGTAGACACTTACAAGCGCATTTTTTTCTGATTTTCCAGATCGAAGCAGGCAGTACCATTGTTCGTGTTGGGAGTGCTATATTCGGCTTCCGGCCAAAGAAAACCGCCTAATTTGAATGAAGGAAAAAGGAAGGATATGCTTATTTTTTTTTCTTTGTTGTATCTACATACATAAGTACATACATATATGTTTGTAAATATTACCGATTTCTCTTAACGTGCAACATATTCCCTTATGGAAAAGTGTGCCGTATACGCTTTGCAAAAAATATAAATGTTTTTCTACAAAAAAGTTGCACGTCAAGAGAAAAATCCTAA